CCTGAGCACTTTCTGTCCTCAGGGAGGTGGGAGGAGGAGGAGGGAAAGAGACAGAGGTAGAGAAGGCAGGTGTAGGCATATCAGCCCTACCTCCCTGGATATCCAGCTCTGTGGTAAGAGGGAAGCCTTGCAGGGAAAGCTTAAAATATCAGAGTAGGTGGCCTGTTTCCCTTGGCAAACTTAGGGGAGGGGCTCAATGCCACTGGAAGTAGCCCTACTTGGCTACTTCCTGCGTGATGGGAAGAGACGGCTCTGAGGTAGCAGCCGGGTGACAGAGATAAACAGCAATGCTGAGGCAGTGTTGCTGTCCGCAGGGCCTGTGTGCCAAGTTCAAGAGACTCAGAATTCTGCAGTAACTTCATGGGGTGATGCTATTAAGATTCCATGGGTTCAAGGCCAAGAAAGCCAGTTTTCAATTTGCTTTACAGAAAAAAACCCAACTCTATACTATAGGTAAGAGACAACCTGGCTGGGCATGATGACTCAGGACTGTAATCCCAGCACTTTGGGAGGCCGAGGAGGGCAGGTTTTCTGAGGTCGAGAGTTTGAGACCAGACCAGCCTGACCAACATGGAGAAACCCCGTCTCTACTAAAAATACAAAATTAGCCTGGCGTAGTGGTGCATGCGTGTAATCCCAGCTACTCGGGAGGCTGAGGCAGGAGAATCGCTTGAACCCAGGAGGCGGAGGTTGCAGTGAGCCGAGATCGCGCCATTGCAGTCCAGCCTGGGCGACAAGAGAAAAACTTCGTCTCAAAAAAAAAAAGAAAAAAGAGATCACCTAAAACAAAGTGATTCAGAAGTGTTAAAAATAAAGGGATAGGTAAAGGCATGCCAGGAACATGGAAATAATAAGAAAATAAAAGAAGCAATCCAGATCTTTTTTATTTTTTTTGAACCACAGCTTCACTCTGTTACCCAAGCTGGAGTGCAGTGGTGGGATCTCGGCTCACTGCAACTTTTGCCTCCTGGGTTCAATTGATTCTCATGCCTCAGCCTCTTGAATAGCTAGGATTACAGGTGCCCACCACCGCACCTGGATAATTTTTGTATTTTTAGTAGACATGGGGTTTCATCATGTTGGCCAGTCTGGTCTCAAACTTCTGACCTTAAGTAATCCACCCACCTTGGCCTCCCAAAGTGCTAGGATTATAGGCGTGAGCCACTGCGCCCGGTGAAACATGTATTTTAATGCTAAAGCCATAAGTCACACATGAAATACAACTTTTAGGAAAATTAATGAACCAAATAACATCAGCAATCACCTTTATAATGCAAAAAAATATGGGAGATTCAAGGAGACAAAAAGACAACACACTCGTAATAGGAGACATTCATACACCACTCTCAGCACAGGACAGGTCAAATGAACAAACAATAAATCAGGAAAAAGCATGCTCAAACAGTATAGCACAACCACAGTGAGGCAGCACCATGGATGTACGTTCACAAGGTATTCACAAAAAGGGATCATATATAGTCTAAAAGGAAGACATCAGTGAGTTTCATGACGTAGAAATACTACAAGTAATATTTCTGCCCACAATATCATGAAGTTAGAAATTAATAGAACAAAAATTTAAAAAAAGCTCTTTTATCCTGGATATTAAAAAGCCTATGAAATGACAGGAAAAATACAAACTGAAATTACAAAATTTCTTTTAAAAATCGTAATATGGTGTGAACCCCGAAAACTTGAGACGGTTCTCAGTTAATTTAGAAAATTCATCTTGCCACGGTTGAGGATGAGCCCGTGACGCAGCCTCAGGAAGTCTTGATGACATGTGCCCAAGGTGGTCAGGGCACAGGTTGGTTTTATACATTTAGGGAGACATGAGACATCAATCACTATAAGTAAGAAGTACATTGGTTTGGTCTGGAACGGACAGCCAGAAGCAAAGGCAGGAAGATTAGAAGTGGGGAGGGATGGCCGGGCGTGGTGGCTCAAGCCTGTAATCCCAGCACTTTGGGAGGCCGAGGCGGGTGGATCACGAGGTCAAGAGATCGAGACCATGCTGGTCAACATGGTGAAACCCCGTCTCTACTAAAAATACAAAACATTAGCTGGGCATGGTGGCGCGTGCCTGTAATCCCAGCTACTCAGGAGGCTAAGGCAGGAGAATTGCCTGAACCCAGGAGGTGGAGGTTGCGGTGAGCCGAGATCGCGCCATTGCACTCCAGCCTGGGTAACAAGAGAGAAACTCCGACCCAAAAAAAAAAAAAAAAAGAAGAAGTGGGGAGGGAGCTTCCAGGTCACAGATAGGTGATACACAAGCCATTACATTCTTTTCAGTTTCTGATTAGCCTTTACAAAGGAGGCAAACCAGATACACATCTATCTCAAGGAGCACAGGAGTGACGTTGACTACAATATGAGACAGGTTTGCCCTAAGCAGTTCCTGGCTTGAGTTTTCCTTAGTTATTTTAGGGGCCCAAGGTATTTTCCTTTCACAATAGCATTAAATAAAAGAATTTATGAGGTACATCTGTTAGACATAGTGAACTCCAAGTTTCTCTTTAAAGAATCAGTATGCCAGTATGTTCAGTTCTTTGTCCTCTATTTTAAAGATTAACTTACTTGTAGTTTCAGTAAACAACCTTTTCCATCAGTTCTAATCAGTAGTTCACATCTGTTCCCCAACCCCTGCTCCATCCTGACTAATCTGGGTTACCTGCTCCAATCACCTGCTCCGGACACCTGCTTTGACCTAGGTCACTGCTGGCTACCTGCTCTGACCTGTCTCGTAACTGTCCTTCCTGCCAAACTACCCACCCCACCACTCCGGCCAGTACCCCTGCTCCCTTTAAAATAGCCAATCAAAATTAGACTAGATGGTGCCATCTAAACCCAGCCAATAGGGGAATGACACAGTAGTAGGGGCTACCTGAATCAGGAATAAGAACCCCTTCCCCTCCTTTGTCCAGATGTGCACTTGCCATTGTTCCATCTATGAGACATTCCTTTCTATAGAAGTAAATTGCCTTGCTGAGGAAATTTATATTCTAGTGCTACTTCTTTTGCGGCACTGAAAATTTACATATAAAACATTTTAAAATGTAATTAGAAGAAAATTCATATCACTAAACACTTACCAGAGAAAAAAAAATGAAAGTAAATAAATTCTTATTTCAAAAAACTAAAAAACAAAAACCAGCAAACTAAACCTAAAAAAAAAAAGAAAAGAAATAAGAAAGATAAAAGTAGAAATTAATGTGGTTAGAGTGTATAAAAATAGGAGACAATAAGTAAATTTGAATCCTACATCAAAAAAAAAAAACTAACAAAAAGACAAAATACGGCCAGGTGTGGTGGCTTACACCTGTAATCCTAAGCACTTTGGGAGGCCGAGGTGGGTGGATCACAAGGTCAGGAGATTGAGACCATCTTGGCTAACATAGCCAAAAACCCCATCTCCACTAAAAATATGAAAAGTTAGCCAGGTGTTGTGACACACACTGTAGTTGCAGCTACTTGGAAGGCTGAGGCAGGAGAATCACTTGAACCCGGGAGGCAGAGGTTGCAGTGAGCCAAGACTGCACCACTGCACTCCAGCCTGGGCAACAGAATGAGACATGGTCTCAAAAAAAAAAAAAGAAAAAAGAAAGAGAGAGACAAAATACTTGTTAAATCAATCATAAAGAGGGGAGAATGGGCACACATATATGTAATTTTTTTAAATGACATAGAGGAATACCATTAAACCAAGAAATTTTTTAAATAACAAAAAATATTGTGCAGACTTCTGCATAAATAAAATGGAAAACATATGAAATGAATAATTTTCTTTGAGAAAGCAGATTACCAAAATTAATTCCATGATAAATAGAAAATTTAAACCAACCAACTTTCCTAGAAGAAATCACGATATTATGAAACCACTTCACAAAAAAAGCATCAGGCCCAGATGCTTTCACAAGAAAATTCTACCAAATCTTTAAGGACCAAAGAGTTCCAATACTCTATAGCCTGTTCAAGACCATTTTAAATGAAGAAAAGTTTTCTAATACTTTTAGTGAAGCAATACCTAAACTAAAGTTAAAAAGTGACAAGATTACAAAGTAGTGTAACTGATACTGATGTAAATAAGAAAAATTTAGAGAATAGTATACCACGGCAAAGTGGGAATCACAGGAACACAAGATTGGCTCATTATGAACGAACCCGTTCATGGATGATTAACAGTTCTAACAAGAAACACATGAGTCATCTTCAAACATGTTGGCAAAGCCTTTGAAAAAGTTCACCATACCTTGATGAAAACACTTGAGAAAATAGGAAGTAACAGATGCTTTCTTACTATAAACAAGCACATACATCTGAGTCTTAAAGGCAGCATTTCACTTGACAGAGAAACACTGGAGGCGTTGACACTAAGATCAGGACAAGGCAAGTGGGTTAGGCTGGGACCCTGCATGTGGCGAAGGGGCTGCAACCAGCCTCATTCCAGGTCTGTGCCCTGCAGGTCTGTCATCTGCTCCTACCAACCACGACTCCTGATCGGGCTGCAAAGTCCTCACCTTGGGCGATATCCTCATTGTCCCAGTGCTCCAGGTCACTTTGCCCTCACTGTGGGGACCCCCTGTCTTCCTCCCTATCCAGTCCCACAGCCTCAGGTTCTCTCAGCTGTCGGAACCCTATATTTGGCTAGAAGGAGCTCTGGAAGTAAACCAGGGAACTTCAGCCTTTACTAGACACCACAGGAGGGCAGTGCTTGGTGGCGCAGAGGCCATTTCTGGTCTGTCTATCTATCTATCTATCTATCTAACTATCAATCATCTATCTATCTATGTTTTCGTTGATTTTTTTTAGACAGGGTCTTGCTCTGTCACCCAGGCTGGAGTACAGTGGCTTGATCTCGGCTCACTGCAACCTCCACCTTCTCCCGGGTTCAAGTGATCTTCCCACCTCAGCCCCCTCCCCTGAGGACCTGGGACCACAGGTGCTCACCACCACTCCTGGCTCATTTTTGTATTTTTGTAGAGACAGGGTTTCACCATGTTGGCCAGGCTGGTCTCAAACTCCTAACCTCAAGTCATCCACCTGCCTCAGCCTCCCAAAGTGCTGGGATTACAGGCCTGAGCTGCAGTGCCCAGCCCCTTTTTAACCAGTACCTGGCACCATACAGAGTGGCAAAGAGCTGACTGAGGAGGATTCACTAGGGCATGGTTCTATCCCCAGGCAATGCCCCCAACAGCCAGTAAGCAAAGCCTCTCTCCATCAAACCCCTCTGTGATTCCACTGTGACTCCACTCTCACTCACCCCAGAGATTTTAACCTTGAGGAGGGATTTAGATGCCAATGTATTCTTCCCCTTTCTTCTTCTGTTCTCTGGGTCCTCCCCCAGCAGTCAAAGAGAGCTTTGCCATGTCTTCGTCTCTTCTGCCTCTCCGACTTTTTTTCATACCCTTCACCCATTGCTTAATAAGAAGCCACATGTCCTAGACTAAAGGGCAACAGGGCAGTAGAGAAAGCTGGGAGGGGGAGCTCGGTTACCAAAATTAAGAAATACCATCAAAAACAATTAAGAAGTATCTCCATTGTACAAAGAAACAGACTCGGCTTTGTACTGTGATGTAACTGTGAAAATCTAAACTCTGGGAAAGGCTGAGATGTAAGAAAAGGCCGTGCTGCCTCCAACTCCAGAGGGACTCAGGTACTCTTCAAGTAATGACCACGCATAAAACCGGGCAGTGCCACTGCTTTTGTCTAGAGTGACTAAATTTGGTGCATGAGAAGGTCATAGAAGAGGCAGTTTCACAACACAGAATATGAATGGCAGAGCTGACAGAAAAAAACCCGGCCAACACAACTGCGGAAATTAAATGTCCATGGTTTGAAGATGGGTGTTATTAACTTTACACACTTTACTTTGGTTAAAGTAATAAAAATTGAAATGTGGGAAAATATAAAAGGGTTGATTATCTTCATGGGATGGAGCTAATCAATAAAGTTGAAACCTATAATTAAAAAATAGTTTAATTTTTAATTTTTTTCATAACCTTTTTCTTTCTTTGAAAGGTATCTCATAAGAACCAAAATTCCCTGATGCAAATAAATATTACCTGAAATACAAGCCATACTTTCACTTTTTTCTTTCTTTTGTATTTGAATAGAAATGAATTTAACACTTTTTAAAATTTAAGGAGTAATAGTTTTGTAAATTACTTCTGTTTATTATCTATAAGAGAGAGATTAAGCATTTCAAAAACACTGACGATGGTTATTTTGGGCTATAGAATTTATAGGATGTTTAAATTTTTTAACTGTTTTTTATTTTTAAATATTTTATAATCAACAAGAATTAGGCCAGGCGCTGTGGCTCACACCTGCAATCCAGTCCTAGCACTTTGGGAGGCCAAGGTGGGTAGATAACTTGAGGTCAGGGGTTTGAGACCAGCCTGACCAACATGGTGAAACCCTGTCTCTACTAAAAATACAAAAATTAACTGGGTATAGTGGTGGGCACCTGTAATCCCAGCTACTCAGGAGGCTGAGGCAGGAGAATTGCTTGAACCAGGGAGGCAGAGGTTGCAGTGAGCTGAGATTGTGCCATTGCACTCCAGCCTGGACGGCAAGAGTGAAACTTCGTCTAAAACATAAAAAAAGAGAGAGAAAGTTAGACAAAATTTAAAGGTTATCTTGTAATCAAGTGAAAATTTTTTAAGTTAATAATATTAGTTGCAGTTAAGATAGTTAAGACCTTAAGATAATCTATCTTAAGGTCTGTTGCTCTGCAAAGACCCTACAAAGAGGGTAAAAGGGCATGCTACAAGACTGGGAGAAAGAAAAAATTTCATGTTACCATGTATATGCTGACAAAGAACTTGTATCTAGAATATATAAAGAACTCTCAAACCTCAACAGTAAGACAAAATCCAATTTAAAAATAAGCAAAATAAAACATTTCACCAAAGAAGATGGCAAATAAGCACATGAGAAGGTATTTAACATCATTTGCCATTAAGGAAATGGGCAAGCCAAAATAAGATCTCACTACATACTTATCAGATTGGTTAAGATAAAAAAGAGTGATAATACCAAACACTGGTGAGGATGCCGAGAAACTGGATCACTCGTCCAGGGCCAGTGGGAATGTAAATTAGCAAAGACCTGGATCCAACCCAAATGTCCATCAACAAGAGACTGGATAAAGAAAACGTGGCACATATACACCGTGGAATACTACGCAGCCATAAAAAAGATGAGTTCGTGTACACTGTTTAAAAGCGCTTAACAAGCATCTTTTAAATGGACACATATATGTCTAGTCTTAACCTAACCTAAGAGTTACCAGAATGCTCTCTTTTTGTGTGGGATTTTCTAAGACCATTTCTTTAATGTAAAACTGAGTAAGTTGGCCAGGATTTGGAGTATTACCAACAAGTGTTTTGAAAAATGAAATTCAGAAAGGAAGAAAGCAAGACAGAACTACAAAGACCAAAAAAGAAAATATAGAGAGAAAGATGGACAAAAAATGGAAATGAAGGAGGAAGAGATGGAGGAAGGGCGGGGCAAACTGTCTGCTACATTGCTCTTCATCATTAGACAGCAGCCTGTTTGTTTTGTTATAACATGAAGTTCAAAGAAGGATGTGCTGACCAGATAATAATCCTAATTGGTGAATGTACTTATATATTTATCTCACATTTGGAAAGCCAAACATTGTTAATGTTACCCTATGCAAATATTCTGAAATACTCAACTGATGATTTTCTTTAATCAACCTATTGTAACCTGTAAACATTGCTAATCTCCATAGAAATAAAATATTATATTTATATATATAATATAATATATATATTATATATATATTTTTTTTTTGAGACAGATTCTCACTCTGCTGCCCAGGCTGGAGTGCAGTGGCAGGATGTCAGCTCACTGCAAACTCTGCCTCCCAGGTTCAAGTGATTCTCCTGCTTCAGCCTCCAGAGTAGCTAGGACCACAGGTGCACATAACATGCCTGGCTAATTTTTGTATTTTTCGTAGAGACAGGGTTTTACCATGTTGGCCAGGATGGTCTCAAACTCCTGACCTCAAGCGATCTGCCTGCCTCGGCCTCCCAAAGTGCTGGAGTTACAGACCTGAGCCACAACCATGCCCAGCAAGAAATGAAATTTTTAAAAAACAATTTTTTTGTTTTAAAACTGTATAAAAAGTTTGAATAATTCAAAAGGCTTGCATCATTTTTTACAAGAAAAAAAAACAAAACACATCCACAGTTTTGTGAGAGACACCAGTTAGTTCAATTATAGAGTAAATATTAAAATCCTGAAATGAACACCAAGTTTTGACTCCTGATAAGGTTGAGCTATCTCTAAATATACAAAGGCAAGAAGGGCCTAGAAGAAGCCCCAGCATACCCATTTTAAGGCCACAGAAGAATCACCTTCAAATCTGCTTTCTGTTGGAAAGCACAAGGTTAAGATGTTTCTGTTCATGTCCCATCTTACCATCAATTCACTGCCCAACCTTGAGCAAGTCTCTTAAACTATGCAAACAATTCACCTGCCTTGGTCTTGCTGTAAAGAGTAAATGAGAATAAATGTGAATACCCTTTGAGAACTATAAGGGTGCTCAGCATTATTGCTGAGGGCAGCATTGGTCAAGAATGGCACAAGGAAACAAAGACACACACTTCCATATCTGCAATATAGAGTGTACATTGCAGTGTTTCTTTCTGCACTTAGGCTCAGCTCAGCTGCACAAATCAACAAAACACTAAATTATCTTCTCTTTAACTAGCACTAAACACTGAGCAAAAAAATGGCCAAGTGATTTAATAAATTCTACTACAAAACAGTAGCAAATAGGTAATAGATTATAAAACTATTATCTATAATTCTGTCAATTACTTAACAAATTCCTCTTGATCACTATTCTTTTTAGCTTCGGTGCTAATTTCAGGGAAGAATTTTCAATCTAGAAGGGCAGCCTAATATATTAACAGGCACACTTATAATCACAAACCAATTTAACTGGTAAATCCGCAATTTAAAAAATGAGAATAATTATGTTGGAGAAGCTTCAAAAGGTAAAAGTGGTAGCTAAACTATAAATAGTAAGTTACAAATTAGGAAAGTTCATCCTTTTCTTCAACTGTGAGATTTTTTTAAGCTATGATTTTTGCTTTAAAAATAAAAAACTTTAAGTTTTCTCAAGCATTGCTTACAATACTTAGTCTTCTTCAATATATTGATAGTCTAGCTAAGTGAACAACTCAGCTTCAACATATCTTTTGATATGTTTGTTATCTTTTGACAGATTCTCATAAAATTCTTTCCTGTAGGAAAAATTATGATGCTATGTGCTAACATTTTTTCTACAACTCAATTTTAAGATACTCTCATTCTATATATGACTTTAAAATAATTTGGGAAAGTTTATTTTAAACATCAGTTAAATAATTTTTATAGAATACACGAAAGACAACTAATTCATTTATACTATTTTTAGAAAAGAAGTAAAAAAAAAAATTTTTTTTTTGAGATGCAGTCTCGCTCTGTCGCTGGAGCACAATGGCGGCATCTCCGCTCACTGCAACCTCCGCCTCCCGGGTTCAAGTGATTCTCCTGCCTCAGCCTCCCGAGTAGCTGGGATTACAGGCACACACCACCACACCCAGCTAATTTTTGTATTTTTAGTAGAGACGAGATTTCACCATGTTGGCCAGGATGGTCTCAATCTCCTGACCTCATGATCTGCCCGCCTTGGCAGATCCCAAAGTGCTGGTAGAGACAGGGTTTTGACCATGTTGGCCAGGCTGGTCTCGAACTCCTGATCGCACATGATCCGCTCACATCAGCCTCCCAAAGTCCTGGCGTCATAGGCGTGAGCCACCGTGCCTGGCCTGCCCTTCATGTCTCTCACCACCTCCGTGGAACTCTGCATCCTTGCCTTTTGCTCCTGAACTTTAGGAAGCTCTCAGGGCCTAAATAAGTCTGTTCCGTTTTTTCTGATACTTGCTAAGCATGACAGGATTCCAGGTCTTCTCAAAGAATCTAACCTACTGATTGCAAAAGAGAAACACCAAGTTAGGGCACCAATTCCGCATGTAAATTACCTAATAATCCTAGCTTGTCCATTGACCAGCTTTATAATCTTGGAGAAACTATTCTCTGAGCGTCAGTTTCCTCAGGGTGAAATAGAGTTAATAATACCACCTAATTCTGAGTTGCATTAGTTAACAAGAATACTAAATTCCCTGAACTAATAATTAATTACATCATAATTAACCAATACCTTTCATTAAATAATATCCCTAATTAAGTGTATTCAAAGCCCTTACTGTACCTGGCCCGTTGCAAGTTCTCAATATATGCCAGACAAACTTGGCAGCATTGCCTTAGGATGGAAGGTCATCATTATCACCTCACTTACAATTTTAATCCCAGTTTTCCTTACAGATACCAATACGTCAGAAAATTTACCCTATGTGTCAAAATATCAGTTTATAAATATTTTCTAAAATTCTGTAATTTTGTCTTCTATACTTACAAACAAATGTTCAAGTATTTAAGTGTAGAACACAAAATTATAGGATTTTAGCACTGAAACAGACCGTTTTTATTATCTTCCCACAATTCTGTGCTGCCTCTAAGGTTTCCTTCAGCTCAATTAAACAGCTATTAAGTACACAATGTGGAGACCCTAAATCAATCCATGAATTGATACTGTGAAGAATCGACTTATTCTGGCACTGCCAACTCAGGGGGAAAAGATAGCATGGTGGCTCGAGCATTAGGTCATGAAAGTCCCAGACCTGTAAATATAGTAAAACTGCATACTTAAATTTGAGCTGAACTCAAGTATAATTTTTCACAGCTTCACTGCCCATGGCTACATGAACATAAGAAGAGGACATTCTGGGGCCGGGCGCGGTGGCTCACGCCTGTAATCCCAGCACTGTGGGAGGCCGAGGCAGGTGGGTCACAAGGTCAAGAGATCGAGACCAGCCTGGCCAACATGGTGAAACCCCGTCTCTACTAAAAATCCAAAAAAATACCTGGGCATGGTGGCGCGTGCCTGTAGTCCCAGCTACTCAGGAGGTTGAGGCAGGAGAATTGCCTGAACCCAGGAGGCGGAGGTTGC